ACTTCATAATTAATATCTTGTGAGAATATACTTTGAGATTATGCAAATATCTTGGAGTACGCAAACTTTCACAATTTTAGTACACACTCATACCTGAATTTACTCTTATTATGATGGCTTCCAAATGGTATTTTTTCCCCTAATTCATCATTTCTTCTTCTTTTTTTTTTTTTTTTTGCGGTACGCGGACCTCTCACTGTTGTGGCCTCTCCCGTTGCGGAGCACAGGCTCCGGACGCGCAGGCTCGGCGGCCATGGCTCATGGGCATGTGGGATCTTCCCGGACCGGGGCACGAACTCGTGTCCCCTGCATCGGCAGGTGGACTCTCAACCACTGCGCCACCAGGGAAGCCCCATCATTTCTTCTTATATTTATTAGCTGGCTTTCTAATATAAGGAAGAGAGTCCGTTTTCTTCCTTCCTATCAGTATTAGAATCATGGATTCTTATTTTACACAACAGTTTATAATGTTCTACTGTCAATATTTATTTGGTACTCAAATTATCCCAGATTTAGTCAGTGGAAGCCCTTTAAGCTTCTTTTGACATGCTCTGAACATTCCTTGAACATTTCCTCACTTTCTGGAACAAGATGTTCTAGGCTCATTTTATACTTTTCTTTACCTCAGCTCTGGAATTAGTCATTTCCTTAAAGAACTCTGGTTCCTTTTAGTATAAACTAGTATTTAGAAACAAAGATCTGAGTACTAGGTGTGCTCACTGCTACTAGGGTGTAATTGTTTCTATGCTCTCTCAGTGGGTAAAGGTAGGAAACAGACGTATGAATTCACACACACACACACACTATATATATATATATAAAACACACTCACACATCTACATTTATTCCTATATCTATTAGAAACCACAAGTTCATGTTGATACCTCCAATTCCAATCCAGCACCACAGGGTTCCTTCTATCCTTTCCCCTTTTCATATGTGTAACTCTCTTCTCTGACAGTGAGAAACTTGGCTCTCATTATCCACAATACATTTATTTGTTTAATCCTAGAATACACATAAGATAGTTTTTGAATTGTTAACTCATACTTTCTGTGAAAAAGAAAGTTACTAACTAGAGTTTAATATTTACTTACACTTCATTTTGTCTTTAGCCTGAGGGCGTTTAGTCCAGATACTGTGTTTTACCTTACTTGGACAGACTAGTGGTTTCCAGGGGTTGGAGAAGATGAATAGTTACCCGTAAAAGGGTAGTACAAGGGATCTTTGTGGTGATGGAACAGTTCCATATATCTTGATTGTGCTGGTGGTTATATGAAGCTACAAATGTGATAAAATTACATAGAACTACCCTCAAATGAGGGCAATCTAGGTGAAATGGATGAAATCTGAATATGTTCTGTGGATTATACCAATGTCAATTTCCTTTTTGTGATACTGTTATAGTTATGCAAGATGTAATCACTAGGGGAAAGAGGGTGAAGGGTATACAGGACCCCTCTGTACTAGTTTTTGCAACTTCCTGTGAATCTATAATTATTTAAAAATAAGAAGTAAAAAAAAAGTTGCTTGGGCTTGTCCTCCCTCCCATCCCCCACCCCATGGCCCCAATTATTATTCATTTAAAACACAGGTTAATTTGTGTCTGTTTGTATTGCATGTTAGGCTCCCATCCAACTTCCTTGCTGATTTATTTTTCTTTTTTTGAGTATATAAAACATTAATATGGTTCTAAAAGTCTAAAAGTTATAACTATACAAAGAAGTATACTCAGGGAAGTATTACACTACCAATACTACCATTAAGGTCATTCCAACTCCAGCTCAGAACCTTATCTCCTTTCCAGCCCATTGCCATCTATCTACCCCTGTATGTAAGCAATTTGATTAGACTGCAGTTTATCTTAACTTGGTTTCTTTTTTTGTAAATTATTATAATCATGTATGTTTAAAAATTTCTCCTTTTTAGAAAAAAATATGTATATTTATTATGCATACTCTTTTGTATTTTGCTTTGTTTACTTAACAATATATTTTGTAAAACAGATCATAAATATTTTGCTCCTATTTTTAAATTTTACTTTTTTACAGCTACATCTTCACTGTGTAGATGTACCACAGATATTCAACCACTGCCCTATGTATGGGCATTTGGGTTATTTCTAGTATTTTGCAATTACAAACATGCTGTTGTGAATATCCTTGTGCATATGTATTTTTATACTGTTAAAAGTGTACCTTCAGGGGGCTTCCCTGGTGGCGCAGTGGTTGAGAGTCCGCCTGCCGATGCAGGGAACACATGTTTGTGCCCCGGTCCAGGAAGATCCCACATGCCGCGGAGCGGCTGGGCCCGTGCGCCATGGCCGCTGAGCCTGCGCGTCCGGAGCCTGTGCCCCGCAACGGGAGAGGCCACAACAGTGAGAGGCCCGCGTACCGCAAAAAGAAAAAAAAAAAAGTGTACCTTCAGGGTAAATTCCTAGACATGAGATTGCTGGGTCAAGAGGTACATGTACCTTTAATTTTGTTAGATATTGTAAAATTCCCCTCCATAAGGCTTGTACCATTCTGCAGTCCCACCAGCAATGTATGAGTACCTACCTGCTTTCTCAAAGTCTCACTAATGGAGTCTTTCATAGTACTTTAAAATTTTTACTATTTAGATAGGTTAGAAATTATACCTCAGTGTAGTTTTAATTTAAATTTCTTTAAATATGAATGAGGTTGAACATTATAAGAAAATAAAATCACAGATCACTATCTCTAGTAAACATAGATACAAAAGCCCTTAACAAAATATTAGCAAATTCAATCTGTCAATAAAAAAAGGATAACATATCATAGTCAAGTAGGGTTTTTTATTCTAGGAATGCAAGGTTGTTTTAATATTAGGAAATTAATCAATGTAATCCATCACACCAATGGAAGAAAGGAGAAAAATTTTGACTATCTCAATAGAGGAAAAAAATTTCACAAATTTTAATACCTATTCTTCACAAAAACACTCAATATATTAGAAATAGAAGGAAGTCTCCTCAATCTGACAAGGGGTACCTATGAAACACCTACAGCTAATACTACTACTAAATGGTCAAATACTGAATGTTTGCCCCCTGAGATCAGGCATAAGGCAAGGATGTCTGTTCCTATCACTTCTCCAACATTCTATTGGAGGTATTAGCCCATGCAATAGGGTAAGATAAACAAGCAAAAGGCATACAGATTGGAAAGGAAGAGGTTAAACTGTTTTTATTTGCAGACAAAATATTGTGTATGTAGAAAATTCTAAGGAAACTACAGAAATGTTCCTACTAGAATAAATGAATTCAGCAAGGTTGCAGGATTTCTATATGCTATCAATGAGGCACTGGAAAATGATAGGTCACACGGGTTATGCCTTTGTCAAAACTCATGGAAGGATATTTATGTAAATTAGTTTGTATCATTTAATTGCATGTAAATTATACCTAAACTTTTAAAAGTTAAAACAACCAAGATAAAAGTATATAAAGTATCTCCTAGTATAATTTGGGGTGGTTGCCAATATGCCCTTTCTGAGAAAGTTTTAAAGTAGGGCCAGGTTTTATTTAAAATTTTTTTGTCTATGTTAAGCCCAAATTTGTTTACAGTTACCCATTCCTTAGATTTCCCATCTCTCACCAGAATCTGGGTATAAATGAATGAATGGTATGGGAGTTGGACCCAAATGAAATATCCTTAACAAAGTGATAGAGCAAGCATGGCATTTATGAATGCTTCCTTTTGGCTGACCACTGTAATGTATTGCCTTCTTTGAACTGACCTTGGATTTAAGAAGTCCTGGGGGGCTTCCCTGGTGGCGCAGTGGTTGAGAGTCCGCCTGACGATGCAGGGGACACGGGTTCATGTCTCGGTCCGGGAAGATCCCACATGCCGCGGAGCGGCTAGGCCCGTGAGCCATGGCCGCTGGGCCTGCGTGTCCGGAGCCTGTACTCCGCGGCGGGAGAGGCCACAACAGTGAGAGGTCCGCGTACCGCAAAAAAAAAAAAAGTCCTGGGTTTAAATCTGGATTCTGAATGTGATTAGCTGTGTAAACTTGGGTTATTTAACTACTTAGAGTATATTTCTCATTTGTTAAACAGTAATAACATTATAAAGTTTTATGAAAACATGAGATAATTAACATGACAATGACTGGCACATTGTAGGGACCCAATAAGTGTTTGTCTTAATCTTAGCAGGATATTTTAATTAAATCTTTATTACAATTCTGTATGGTACGACATTTTCTTCCAATAGAGGAACCAGAACTGTACAAGAATAGTCTTGGCTGCCAACTGGCAGCTTAGGGGATGAGTATGGGAAGCAGACATAGACCTGATGGAGATAATTTCCCCTAAGGGCCACCACCGTACAATGGCTTTCTCATAGTTATCTTCTCTACCAGCAACTGTTCATGAATTCATATTCATTCCAGTTTATTTTTCTTCCTTCAGATTTCTAAAATTACTGGTTCAAAGGAGGAATCACAGACCCTAGCCAAGAGCTCTGTTTCCTTGTCTCTTCCTGATGAAATGCTTTACTAATTAATGCTTAGAGAAACTGAATTCCTTATTCTTAGTATCTCGGCTCATTCTAAAGGTGCAACCCTATTCATTCTTGGGTCACCTCTTTTTCCCCTAATATTGGATATGCCTATTTCATTCATCCATCAAGACTTTAGTGAACAGTTATACCAGGCTCTATGGCTGAGGGTCAGAGAAGATGGTCGTGCCTCACAGCTGAACCTTGAGAGATGAGTAAAGTTATTAGACAGATGGATAAAGTGGGAAAATTTAGGCTCCATTTAAGGTACCCTGCCTCTTCCCAAGAAATTATGCCTTAGCTGCAAATAATAACAACTGGTTGAGAACCTCTTTCTTTCAAAAGGTTAAAGAGACAGGAACTATCCCTCTACCTTTTTTTCCCTAATTTAACTACCATTTGGAATTCTCTTTTGAAATTATGTTCCCAGACCAAAACAAAAGACAAACAAACAACAACAACAAAAAAACTAAGACTCACCTCTGACTCCTCTCAGGAATGTCCAGCACAAACCCAAACATCATTTCAGCAATTTTATTGGAGCTGCATGTGGGGGTCCTATCCACCTCTACGGCTATGGACAGCATCCTCTGCAGCTGGCATACAATCCTGAGTCCAGAACACAGAACACAAATGAGCGGGAGGGTCTGGCAAAGAGCTACCCTACTGGCTGGGATGAGGTCCCCACCAGTGTACTAAAGGATCTTGTAAAGCACACACTAGGGTCAGGGAGAACTACTCAAGCATCAGCATGCTTTTATTAGCAATTTCACCTACCTGAATCCCTTTTGCCAGATCATACTATCTGAACCTCTCAGAACCTGGGGTTGAGCTGTAAAAGCAAGCTGCTTTTAAATTCAAAAAGAGAAACATACAATCTTAAGGGTCTAGAGAACTTTAAGGATCACCTAACCTATAACTTCTCTATTTCACAGATGAAGAAACAGGTCCAGAATGACTAACAATTATTTGAATTTCTTTGATAGGAGAAAATACATATTTACCATATAGTCTTCTCCTGTTACTAGTTCCTTTACAATAATCTTTTACTAAGTTCAGTCTCAGAGTTTCAGCTGGTGAAACGTGACCCTCTCTTTCATCAGACCTAACTGTGGGAGACAGCCAGGCTGATGTGGCAGGAGGAATCTGGGCAACCCCTCAGAAGGTGAGCCTGGCCTTGAAGCTAGCCTCTTCTAACATGCACTATTATTTGTGAGGGAAGGAAGGGCTCTGTTTTCAGAAAATCTGTAGCCAGTGACACAATAGGTGGAACAGGGACTCTAGCATCAGATTCTGGCTCAGCAATGACAAGCTGATCAATTTTTGACAAATTACTAAACTGCTCTCAGTCTAAGTTCTCTCATCTCAAAAAAGGAGAAATAATACCACCTATTTCATAAAGTTGTGCTGTTTAAGATATCTGGCAGACAGGCACTCATTCATGGTAAACAGCAGTGCCTACTGTTGTTGTTAAGATCATGATCACTTTTAGGGGGACCCTATTTTATTCTACTAATATCTACTTACAATAAATTTATTACTATTATTATTATTATATTAGCTTTCATTTAAGGAACAGTGTCTGCTTCTCTCTTGGGTCTATATACTGAGTTCTGGGATAACCCTACTTCCCTACTTTAGGACCTTCCCCAATCTGCTCAAGCAAATATTTCATTGTTCCAAAACATTCTCCCTTTAGGTACAAGATTGGCTCCTAAATTAGTGAAAACCCATAGTACTTATATGAAAATCAGGTCAGTGCAACTAGATTATTATATAGCGTTGTGAATTTAGGCACAAATGCTGTATTTGAAATATCAAGTGTGACTGTCATTTTTAACACAATTGACATGGAATAGCAGGTTACTTGTGCAAGGGCAGCTCCAGCCCCCAAATCCTGGCATTTCTCAAAAAATGCCAAGACCACTTTCAATCCCATTAAAGAAATGCCAGGAATGTCTTTCCAGTGTGGTCTGAGGTAATAGGACCTGCCCTGGTCTGAGCCATTGCTGTTATAATCTGTTGGAACCTGCAGGTTGAACTGCTCTTCTTCTTCCAGGACTGGAGGAGAGACCCAGGTCCTTGAGGACAAGAGGCTGCTGGAACACCCACTACGCATGACTCCTCTTCTGTCAGTGGACAGATGAAGTGGTGAGTAGCTGTAACCCTGTATTGTCTCTTGGAATCTAGGAAAGGGAGGGCAATGTCCTCTGGCTTTTGTTCCATTTCGGCTTTGTGAATTTATATTCACTTAGTGAAGTCCTATTCATCTAGGGGGAAAGCATCTGCTTTTGTTTTACCTTTGGAATTAGGAATTTAGCCTTTAGTCAAACTAAGATAGTTTTTAGTAAAAACCAGCCTATGTTATAAGAGCTTGTTAATTTTGGGGAAACTCCTCTTAGGGGGTGGTGCTGTTCTCTAAAACAGTAAATCCCAATAGCCCCAGGAAAGATAACTTCTGCCTGCTCCTTACAGCTGATTGGTGTTCTTTGTGAGGTTAGGTTGGGGAGAAGGGTGGCTACTGCTGGCCTTCAAGATTCCTGTTCCTGGAGAGGTTTGATTCTCCTTTGGGGACTGAGTTAATCTGTGTTCAGTTACTGCTTTGACCAACCACTTGATGACATCTCTGCAATGGAAAAAAGATAAGAAAGAAAAAGTTTAAACTTTTGTCTTACTATATGGTGCTCAGAACTGCAACTTTAACATGGGCTCCTAGACCTCTAGATTTCCCTAAAGGCAACACAGAGGGTCCTTAGGCTACTTTCAATATTTAAAAAGTCTAATGGAAACCCTGCATTTAATTGTAGTAAGGTTACAAAAGGTAAGTAAAACATCAATATTTTTCTTTAAGTTAGAATTATTGAAAGGTATCTCCAAGGTCAAAGAGCACTATCTGTGGCTTCCTGACCAGGAACATTCCTTGACAAAGTGGAAAGTTGGACTGGATGACTTTGTTGGCTTTCTATTATTAGATGTCAGTTATTAATGCTAATAACCAAGGTTTAGAGTATGTGCAGTGGAGTCAAACCTTACACAGGGTGTAGGCTCACAAAGTTAGTAAGGTAAAAACATCTCATATAGTCAAAATTACTTTTGATGATCACTTAGGTAACCCAGGTAAAAATGATGGATTGAATATACACATCTAATTTTGTTCCCTCCTAAAATGCCACTAATACTACAGTAAATAATTTTTTAAAAAGTCCACAAAGAAGGGAAGAAAAGGAGGGCAGATAATAACAGTAAAAATCTGGAAGCTGGAAGGAAAATGAAGTATATTCACAAAACAATATTCTTCAGTAGTGGAAATGAATATGCTACAGTGGATAGGTATGGACAAATCTTAGTACTCTATAATAGTAAGTGAAATATAGAAGTACCAATTGATTACATACAACATGATACTCTTTTATATACAGCTAAAAGGAGCTAAAATAAAAATATATACTTTGCAGGAACACATATAGATGCAATAAAACTATATAAAAAGGAAAGGAACATGATGAACATTCAGGATGCCAATTACTTTGGGTGCAAGAAGGTGCGAAAAGTGGATGATGGGGGATGGATATAGGTAATTGTCAAGGTCCTAGCCTTTGATTTAAGGGGTTGGGTAAGAGATGCTGATTACAAAATTCAAAGTAACCAATTAACTAAGTAAATAAGGCAAATGTCATGTTTAGATGATGTTTAATCTAAGTCTATGACTTTGGCAATGGGGTAAATTTTAACTGACTTGGCAGAATTAAGAAAGCTGAATCCTAAGCCAGCAGTAGAGAAGAGCAATCCTATTTAATCCTATTCACCAAAAAATGGAAAAAAAAAAAACCTTCAATAAGTGCTGCAAATGGCAGTATGAGGTTTCCATGAAGTTAGGGTAAAAGCGGGTAAACTAAAATAAATATGACGGCTTGTAATCTGTTTAAGAAACTTTTAGATCTTCTCCCCCAGTGCTGAAGACTACAGGTTAACTTTGTGGAGAGGTAAAACAGAGGGTCTCTGGACTGGGATACCAGGCACAGCTGGGAGGCAAAGGCATCAAAGCAAAAACAGGGGCTCTAAGTGAACCTATGCATGCTCAGTGCAGAGATCCTTGCCACCTTCCCAGAACTGTCTTCCCAAAACCTGGCATCCTGGTCTTTATCCTTCATGTAGGAAATCTGAAGTCTTTTCTGGAAAACTCATCCAGCCCAAGAGGAAAGACCTAAAGACACTGACGAAGTATTTTCTAAGAAATGGACAGCCAGTTCCACCTACAGGGAAGCTCAGAAATGACAAGTCCTCACCTGTACTCAGAGCTTCCAAGAGCTTTTGAGTCACCCTTAAACGTGGATAGATTACAAAAGTTTACCAGACATCTATGGACATATTCTAACATGAGAGATAAACACCAAAAAGCCAAACCAACCCTCCTTTCTCCTCAAAAAAGCAACTTGGAGAAAACAGACATTATACAGGGAATTAACAAAAACAAAAGCTATCATTAGTATAATCAAAGATATGAAAAGATACGGATCCATGAAAGAAAAAGACAAGAACAGAATACTATTTATTATTTTTAAAAAGGAACATTTAAAGAAAAAGAGCTCTTGGAAATTAAAAACATGATAACAGGAATGAAAATTCTATTTTCCAAGAATGAAGGATATGAAATGGCCCATTGAATGCCCAGCATACTAGATGAACATAGATCTAAAACAAGTATATTGGGCAAAAAGAGGATTCTATAAACAGCCAGAGAAAAAAATCAAGGCACACACAAAGAATCAGCAATCAAAGTAGCTTATGGCTTCTTCACAGCAATTCTGGAAGCTAGAAGACAATGGAAGATTTCCTTTAATATTCTGTAGAAAAGATATTTCTAACCTAAATATCTATACTTACTTATCAATCAACGTGTGGGAAGATAAAGATATTTTCAGACATACAAGATCTCAAAAATTTTACTTCCCACATACCTTTCTAAGAAGCTACTGGAGACTGATCTATCAAAAACATGGGAGTAAACCAAGAAAGAGAAGATATGAAACAGAGATCCAACACTGGAAACAGGTGAAGGGAATTTTCACATTTATGATAAAGACTGGAAAAGAGGACAACCAATCCAGATTGAAGGAGGTCAAAACGTTCCACCACAGATCTTCAAGAAGAAGAACTTCATAAGACTAACCCAGTGTGAATAAACATCTTGATGGGATATTTAAACCAAACGGCAGAGAATCTAGGGTTGACTTCTGATATGCACAAACAATACGAGGAAACTAAAAATGAGGCAGTTATTAACTCTAAGGAAAACAAAAAAGTATGAGTGAAAGAAAAAGTAATCACAGTTTAGTACTTGGCTCAACTCTGACTAGCACACATAGTTATAGTGATGGAAACATTGGATATTGATCTAAACAAAATTATGATATAACTCTATTAATGGCATGGGGGCTGGGATGTGTGTGTGTGTGTGTGTGTGTGTGTGAGGGGGAGAGAGAGAGAGAGAGAGAGAGAGAGAGAGAGAGAGAGAGAGAGGAGGTAGAGAGGAAAAAGAGCTAACTCCTCATCTTTCATGTGGGGAGTTAATAGATAATAGCTAACAATGAAAAATCAACAATTAGCAACACAAGCAGTTTATTTAGCCATAAAGAGGTAAAAATCCAAAGAATCACTTAAATAAAAGAGTTGAAAGTAGTTACCCCTTGGGAAAGGAAAATGTGGGTGAGGGGATCTGGGGACTAGTGTATTTCTTAAATCATGTAGAACTAGATTATTCTTTGTATGCACAGTTAACAAAAGAAAAGAAAATCCCTTAAGGGGTCATATGGAGACTGACTTACCATCACTTTCTTTTTAAAAACTTATCTTTGAGGTATAACATATAAAATAAATTGCACACTGGTTTTTGTTTGATGAAATTTTTTTATTTTAAGAAGGAAATGGAAAATTTTATTTGAGCTAAGCTGAGGATTATAACCCGGGAACAGCCTCTCAGAAAGCTCTGACAACTGTCCCACCCGTTAGAGGTCAAAGCACAGTTATATACTGTTTGATGAGTTTTGATAAATACATGCACATATCCGTGTAACCACAACCTCAATCTAATAGCCCTCTCTTTTTGAATCAAATACAGCTGGTTTCCCCTCCAGCTGGAACTGATTTTTTTCATTGATAAAGCACAAAATAGAGTATGTGGCTTGCATTTAGAGGTTACCAATGCCTATCTTTAAACCCAAGAGTATAGTGTTGGGTATAGTGAGAGGCTCACACAATGAAAGTGAGTGACTTGTCACTGGATTGAGTTGGGTTCATGTCTCCCATCTCCCAATCCAATGCCTAAGCTCACAAAGCAGAATGGTCAGGAGAGTTGCTCTCACTATTTAAATTGTTATTTTTCAATTTTAAACCCAACTATGCTATCCTGTGCTCTCTGTAGTTTCTCTACTTACTGATTTTCTACCCCCTATAATCATTAACATTTAAACTTTACATAAAATGGTACATCTAGGGAAATGGATATAAGCATGCAAACTAAGGGAGAAAAAGCAGACTGTTACTTAGAACATAATGAAACGTCCCCCTTTTCTAATTAAAGGAGTTATAATAGTCAATATCCCACACTGGCCTGTGAAAACTATTCTTAACAAATATGCCAGAACATATGAGAAAGTAAATGTGAGTGAAAAAAAATCTCAACGATGCTCTGAAAAAAGGAATGCTGGTGAGAACCGTTTCCAAAAGAAGCAAAGCTTGTAGTTTCAGGATGAAAATTCTAGCCTGAGATCCCTACCCTATAAACCACATTTCACCCCGTTGGTATAAGGATATGGTAGTTCCCCACTCTGAAGCTTCCAGAAGCTTTGGACCTGATCCTACAAAAAAAGAACACGTGCTTGCTACCTTACTGTACTTTATTGTCAGCCACGTGACCTATTATAATAATAGGCTTTTCAGAAAGTAGTAGTGACAAATGAGATTTATCTTGAGTTACTCAGGGGGATGGAAATAAATTTAGGTTTATAAAAGCTGTGAAAAGTTTTACACAAGTCAAGTTTTCCCCCTGGATCTCACAAGGCCGTCTGAACAATACTGAAATAGACTAAAGGAAGTCTGATGGTCCTCGGGAAAAAACCACACAAGTTATGGCATCTGACACACAGTTGGTACAGAGAGGTTTTCTTCTAGGACTGTTTATAGTTGTAATAACTATCCCTGTTATACTATCTAGCTACTAGAAAATCTCATCCACCTGATGTTCTCAGGACTTGAGTAGCTGCCCACTTACAGCCCCTACCTCTTGTCATCCCAGGGCTCAGATGGCTGGTTACCTGACATTGTGGGGTTGCTTGTCACAGGATAGCACAGTGCTTGCAATAGATTGCTGCAGGTGCTGTCGCTGCTTCCTCAGGATCTGTTGGAAATCATCTTCCAGGGTTTGTACTACATAACGTAGAAAAAGGACTCGCCCGGGCAGATTTTGTCCCTGGGGGAGAAAAAATGAGAAGTATTTCCTCTCAATCTCCTGGACGACACTGAGCACTGGGCTCTCATAAATACTAAGTCAAGGGAAGGCCCATGAGTCAACTAGTGTGTATCTAAAAGAGAGGTTTCTGGGAGAGAGCAAGCAGTCTAGGTCATTATAAAAGAGGGCAAATAGGGCAATCCTAGAGCTTGAAAAGTCAGTCTCTTTCTTTCACTGAACCTAACTATCAGTCTCAGGATAAACCCTAAACTGTGGATATCTGAACAGAGACAGAAAAAATGACTATGCCAAGCTACTAGATCAAGCAACCATGATGTCTATCTCACTGCTATACTTCTAGTAAGATGAGCTGATGTATATCCTTACTGTGAAAGCAAGTCTGAGCTGGGTTTCCTGTTACAGGTGAAATGATCCTAACTGTTGAAGCCTAACTGATGCAGGTAAAGAGCATGGGCTTTGGTGGTGCACAGACCTTATTTATTTGTTTGTTTGAAACTCAGCTCCATCCTGTATTTAACTTACCCCGCTGAGTCTCAGTGTCCTTGTGATTTATGTGGTGATAACTCTAACCTTACCAAAGCCAGCGTAAGTGTCTGTCACACAGCAGGCAGGCATGCACAATTCATTGGTTTCCCTTTACTGACAAGGAAGGACTTACTTCTGGCCTTGTGCTATCTGTTTTGTAAATGCCTTATAGTTTCTTTGTCCCTCATTTCCTGCATTATTGTCTTTGATTTTTTCATAGTGAAATGTTTACATTCCTTTCTCATTTCCTTTTGTGTACATTCTATAGCTATTGTCTTTGTGGTTACCATGGGGATTACATTTAACATTCTAAAATTATAATACTTTGAATTTATACCAGCTTAACTTCAATAACACACAAAAACTCTGCTCCTTTACAGCTCTGTTCCCACCCCTTTTAGTTGTTGAAGTCACAATACTATATCTTCATATATTGTGTGCCCCAAAATAAACTAATAATTCTTTTAAATGCATTAATCTTTTAAATTATGTAGAAAACAAAATGTGGAGTTACAATAATACTAGCTTTTAGATTAATACTTTAAAAATGTATTAGTTTCTTAATACATTATAGAAAACCAATGTGGAGTTACAAACCATTGTTACAATAATAGCTTTTATAACTGCCCATGTATTTATCTTTATTTCTTCATACGGCTTCAAGTTACTGTTTAGTTTTCATTTTACCCTGCAGGACTCCCTTTAGCATTTCTTGATGAGCAGGGATAGTAGTAAATGAACTCCCTCAGCTTTTGTTTATCTGGGAATGTCTTTATTTCTCCCTCATTTTTTTTTTTAACAACTTTATTGGAGTATAATTGCTTTACAATGGTGTGTTAGTTTCTGCTGTATAACAAAGTGAATCAGCTATACGTATACTTATATCCTCGTATCACCTCCCTTTTGCGTCTCCCTCCCACCCTCCCTATCCCACCCCTCTAGGTGGACATAAAGCACTGAGCTGATCTCCCTGTGCTATGCAGCTGCTTCCCACTAGCTATGTATTTTACATTTGGTAGTGTATATATGTCTATGCCACTCTCTCACTTCGTCCCAGCTTACCCTTCTCCCTCCCCATGTCCTCAAGTCCATTCTCTACATCTGCATCTTTATTCCTGTCCTGCCCCTAGGTTCTTCAGAACCATTTTTTTTTTAGATTCCATATATATGTGTTAGCATATGATATTTGTTTTTCTCTTTCTGACTTACTTCACTCTATATGACAGTCTCTAGGTCCATCCACCTCACTACAAATAACTCAATTTCGTTTCTTTCTATGGGTAATATTCCATTGTATATATGTGCCACATCTTTTTTAACCATGCATCTGTCGATGGACACTTAGGTTGCTTCCACGTCCTGGCTATTGTAAATAGACCTGCAATTAACATTGTGGTACATGACTCTTTTTGAATTATGGTTTTGTCAGGGTATATGCCCAGTAGTTTCTCCCTCATTTTTTTTTTTTTTTTTCGGTACGCGGGCCTCTCACTGTTGTGGCCTCTCCCATTGCGGAGCACAGGCTCTGGACGCGCAGGCTCAGTAGCCATGGCTCACGGGACCAGCCGTTCCGCGGCATGTGGGATCTTCCCAGACTGGGGCGCGAACCCGTGTTCCCTGCATCGGCAGGCTGACTCTCAACCACTGCACCACCAGGGAAGCCCTCTCCCTCATTTTTGAAGGACAGTTTTGCTGGATACAGGAATCTTGGTTGACTTTTATTCTTTAGCACTTTGAATATATCGCCCCACTAACTTCTGGCCTCCAGTTTCTAATGAGAAATCTCTGATAATCTTATTGAGGATCTTGTATTGATGTGTCACTTCTCTCCTGCTGCTCACCCTCATTTTTAAAGGAAAGTTTTGCCAGATATAGTATTCTTGGTTGACAGTTCTTTTCTTTTAGAACTTTGAATACATCATCCCATTGCCTTCTGACCTGCAAGGTTTCGCTGAGAATCTGCTGAGAGTCTTATACAAACTCACTTGTATGTGATAATTCACTTTTTTCTTGCTGCTTTCAAGAAAAAGTCTTTCAAAGAAAAAGTCTTTGACCTTTGACAGTTTGATTATAATGTGTCTTGGTGTGGGGTCTCTCTGGTTTATTCTCACTGGAGCTTTCTTGAATTTGTATGCCCACTTCTTTCCTCAGACTTGGAAAGTTTTTGGTTATTATTTCTTCAAATAAGCTCTTTGCCCCTTTCTCTCTTCCGTTTATGGGACTTCTCTAATGTGTATATGGTCCATTTAATGGTGTCCCATAGTCCCTTAGGTGCTCATCAATTTTCTTTATTCTCTTTTCTTTTTGCTCCTCTGTCTCAGTGATTTCAAATGACCTTTCTTCATGTTCACTGATTTTTTTCTCCTGCCTGACCAAGACTGTTGTTGAACTCCTCTAGTGAAGTTTTCAATTCAGTAACTGTATTTTTCAGCTCCAGGATATGTTTGATTATTTTCTACAGTTTTTTAAAATTTAATATTCTCATTTTGTTCATGCATTATTTTCTTGCTTCATTTTGTTGTCTGTGTTCTTTTTTAGCTCCTTGAGCATCTTTAAAATAGTTTAAAAAATTTTTTGTCAGTATGTTTGTGAGATTTGTGTTTGTTGTGTTTGTTGAGAGATTTGTGTTTCTTTAGGGTTAGTTTCTGGAGCTTTATTTCATTCTTTTGATTGGGCCACATTTCCCTGCCTCTTTGTATGCTTTGTAATCTTCTTTTGAGATTTAAACATTCGAAAAAAACACCTTTCCCAGTCTTTATCCATTGAGTTCATGCATGGCAAGACCTTCACCAATCAGCTTGGCTAAAGGTCCTGAGACCTCTCAGACCTTTACTGGAGATGTGTTTTCTCTGAGCTTGTGTGTGTGCTTTTATCTGCCTTAATTTCCCAAGTGGCTTGCCCCTACTTCTTCTTGAAAGCCCACGGTCTCTTGCTCCCCCAGTACCTGTTTGTGGAACTGCATACTCTCTGCAGCTCTAAAATGCTGCAGTGCTCACATTTCTTTTCAGCCAGAAAACTAAGCCACTGTTCTCAACAGTGCTCTGAGTCAGGTAAGACAGAAACTATTCTCCTAACAAGCCAGAACACTGGACTCAACGTCCACTCTTCTGTTTCCATCCCAAGGGAGGAGCCAAGGTATGGGAGATTTCCTCCTAGTTGCACTGTGCTATGCTAGGTAGAGGGAGGGGCATGGACACACAAAACACCACAAACTTTCCTACTCCTTTCAATGGAGTACCTTCTTGGTTATGCATTGGCCTGAGTACTACAACTTCTCAACTGGTCTCTAGAGTTTTCACAAAGGTATTCTGGTCCATATATTGTTGTTAACTTGGTATCTCCATTGGGGAATAAGGGCCTGGAGCTTCCTTGTCTACCCTCTTGGTGGTGTTTCCCAGATCATGCTTCCTTAAAGCCCTGTATTTTTTTGCTCCAATCTGGAGTGATTGCCCTCTAGGTCTACTATTTGCAGTAATCTCAGGACTTCTCTTCCTTACTCTTCTGGATTAGATCTAGTGATACTGGATCCTGTGTCTCCCCCTTTTTTGATTGTTCCCCTATTCTTTGTATGCATATCTTCAAGTAACCTATGAAATGGGGTGTGTGGATATTCTGTCAAGTTTGTACATGTCTGGAAATGTCTTTATTCTACCCTCACAGTTGACTAATAGTTTGGCTGAGTATAGAGTTCTAAGTTGACAATAATTTGTTCCATCCAAGTGCTTTTGGGTTAGCAGACAGAAAGCTGGCAATTAAATTTAGGGATCCCTAAAGGTCAGAATGCAGACTTTTTTTCTGGAGCACCAACTCTACACTAGCTGCCTTCATTTATGACAGATGGTTCATTCGATTTCTTTTAGACAATGAATCCTCTGATTTTTTGCCTGAAAGGCAAAGGTAACCTGGCAACTGAGCTTTCTGTACTCAAAAACAGAGATTATCAGTTCCATCTACAAGCTTTCAACAGACTTACAGCTCATATCCTACTTCAACCTTCTTATATATTGTGTTTCTGAGTCCAAAAATTCTCTGCTCTAAAGGGCAGATTTCCTCCCTCTTTGGCTACAGCCCTTCCTCATGTATTCTAGCCTGTAGCTTTCTCAGCCTAGCTTCATCAGTCATCACTCTTATATTTCCTTTAGCTCTTCCAATCTTCATTCAAATCTATTGTCTTTCCCCTTATTTTCAGTGCCATAGGTTTATATATTTCTCTATTCATTTACTGTTATTTTAAATGGAATCTGAAAAAGGAGAGGGATAAGTGAATGTATTCAATCTTGAATTGGAAGACAGCACATACCATTTCAATAGGAATGTTTTGGTCGGGATTTGGGGGAGTAAAAGAAAGGAATAATGGCAAAGACGTTACTACCAGATTTACAGTCACTTTTATTTCTAGTTAAAACTTCCTCTGCAGGGCTTCCCTGGTGGCGCAGTGGTTGAGAGTCTGCCTGCCGATGCAGGGGACACGGGTTCGTGCCCCGGTCTGGGAAGATCCTACATGCCGTGGAGTGGCTGGGCCCATGAGCCACGGCCACTGAGCCTGCGCGTCCGGAGCCTGTGCTCCGCAACAGGAGAGGCCACAACAGTGAGAGGCCCGCATACCGCAAAAAAAAAAACAAACAAAAAACCTCCTCTGCAAAAGATTTTTGCTTGCAATTGCTATGTTACCTCTTCCTCCATGACATAAGTGAGCAGCTTCCAGTCCCACTCCACTGTCTTGGCATTAGCTGGATGTAGCCTGAAAGTAAAGTGACATCAATTAGAATTCTGGAGAGTTTAGTGGAAGAAGGGATGGGATCTCGAAGATGATAGAAGCAAGAAGCCTCCTCTTATCCTCAGTGCTCTTGCCCACGCTTTGATACAATACCATGTCATCTGAGGGTACTGGAAGTTCATTTTCTTTGGCTACCCAGTATCCACCTGTCTTTTGGGAAGCATTAGTACCCCAATTTTGCCTTGAAGAAATCAACTCTTTATTATTCTTAGCCCACTGGCTTTACCCACTAGGACCCTGGGATGAAGTCTGCAAAGCATGTCAATCTTGATATTCTATTCCTCGGTTCACAATGATTGGCTCAAAGATGGACTCAGGTCTTATGTTATGCCAATTAAAACCTATAAGACTCAATTTCAGAACTCTGTATGATTATAAAGGAAGTGGACCCTCTCTTGTACTAAGAATGTTGTAAAAGCTAGAGGCTGAGAAGGTTACCATGTGAAGCCTAGAAACAGCAACGTAGAGCTGAAAAATGGATCCTGGTAACCATTTCTGAACTGAATTAAGTCACATCTTATTCCTAGGTTTCTAGTAACACGAGTCATTAAATTCTCTTTTACCAGCTGTTAAAGCCAGTTTGGATTGAGTTTCCTGTCACTTGCAATACAAATAATACTAATATACTAAGTCACCCTCTCTAATGGTTAGATGAATAAATCTTAGGCAAGAGAAAGTTGTGCCCTGAGTCCAGGTTCCCCAGAAGATTCGCCAAAAGCTAAGGTTCATACTGTTGAATTTTCATGAGAAGCATGTAGGCCTCCTTTAGAACATCCACAGTCTCAGAGCCACTGAGCAGGATTTTCTGGATGATGTGAGCCACAATTTCTCTGGGTGGGTAATGCTGGGGTGACACAAAGTCCATCAAAAACTGCACAGTCCCCAGGGGAAAGTTTTCTTCAATGGTGTTTGCTACCATCCTTAGTCTTCGATGAGGGATAGGTTCTAATTTTTGACCCTTGTTCTGCAGAGATAAAAAGAAATAAATTAGGATGGGTTTCTATAGACATAAAAGCTAGAGGTTCTGGAACAAGTTGAAGACAGGGAAGTTTTCCATGCATTTTAAATATTCATAATTTAAAAAACTGAGACTGGAAAGCCTTATCTAAAAAACTTCTAATGACATGGTAAAATACTTATATTAAGTTAACAAATAAGAATACAAAGTTCTACATGTAACATGATTTCATCTGTGTTAAAATATAGCATTAGAAAGGAAAGTACAAAAGATTTAAGAGCTAGCCTAAGTTGATTTTGGAATAAGGGTGATAAGATATTTAGGGGTAGCTATGATACTATATCAGATACTGAAACAAAGAGATGAATAAAGATGCTTTAAATATCTTTTATTGTTAGAAGAAGAATTCCATTTTGTTGGTCTTTTTTGAGTCAACAGTAAATATTAAGTTGCTTCACCGCCCCCCCCAACCCCCAAACAGTATGTATATAAAGAATGAAAGAGAATGTATGAAAAGTGGTTTTCTATTATCTGGATGGTGAAATGATGGATGATTTTTCCTCTATATGTTCTTTTGTAGTTTTCAATTTTTCTGTAATAGACACATCATTAAAAGAAAAACAAACATTAAAAAGTCTGATATAATAATAATAATTATAATAATAAGTTTTAACATTCAACTTATCCTCACTTAATTCTCTCAACAACTGTAAGAAATATATGTTATTATTATTCCTATTTTATAGATAAGGAAACTGAGATTTAGAGTGAGAATTTGTCATGCAATAGATGGCAGAAGCTGGTTTCATACAGCGGTATAACTCCATAGCTACCATCTAAACTCAAACTCTCTATAAACAACAAAACCAACAATAATAAATATATTATTGTTAAAACCCCCAATTATTAAAAAATTTAAAGTGTCTACACATAAAAAGGCAACCAGGAAGGAAATACACCCAATTATTAACATTAATAAATGCTGACTGATAGCATCATGGGTAATTATTTCTTAAGCAAGCATTATTTTTAAAATCTGAGAATAAGTATTAATTTTAAAACATAAGCCAAACAAAGTTTGATAGTTTATGTATAACAGAAAAACAGTGATGGCTGGAATTGCCCTTCTGGGGAGAGGGCAGTTAGCTTTCTTATGTCTCAGGCCACCTGAGGGTAACCCCTGATCTCACTGATAACTCAGAGGAGTTAAGGCTAATGGCTGGTTAGCGGCAGCATGGACACTGGCTAAGAAGTTCTTGGAAGAATTTACTGTATAGCACAGGGAATTATATTCAATATCCTGTAAACCTGAATGTAACCTGAAAAAAATAACAGAATGGAATGTAACCTGAAAAATGGAATGTAACCTGAAAAAAATAACAGAATCACTTTGTTGTTTACCTGAAACTAACATAATATTGTAAATCAACTATATTTTAATAATATAGTTATATATTATTAAATATATATTTAATATAATAAATATATTATATTTATTGGCTATAAATGGCTATAATAAGTATTATTATAGCCATCCTAGTCGATACAAAGTGGTATCCCATTGTGATTCTGATTTGCAGTTCCCTAATGACTAATGATACAGAAAATCTTTTGAGAAATGTCTATTCAAATCCTTTGCCCATTACTAATATAATACTGTAAATCAACTATACTTCAATAAAAAAAATAATGTACTGACCAAAACCCCCAATGAATTAGAATAGAATAGAAAATAAAGTGCATCACACTAAAAACAAGTTCTGGGGGGAGAATGACTTAGTGAAGAAGTACTTATAAAAAGCCCAAAAGTAATCAAAAGAGACAGAAAATATTTACAGATGTATTCTAGATGGCTGAGATTCTTTGAGAAGTTAAGAAATAAAGATGAAGAAGAAAAAGCCACTCTGTGTAGCCTAATTGCCACCTTGTAATCTGAGCTATGTGTACACATAAGGTGGACCTGTATCTACTGATGGCTTCTTTGGTTGTGTAGCACCTACAAAGGACTACAGCCTTGACTAGGTAAAAAACCTTCTCAAGTCCTCCAGGTGCTCAATAATGGAATGATGTATCGCCAATCAGAGGCAAACTCATAGGAAAAAAGAGAACAAGCTAGTGTTGGGGAAAGTCATTCAGAAGGAGGAAACATAAAGCCTACTAGAAGGTAGAACAATTAAAACGAGAGAAAAAAATTCACTCTCTAAGGGCAAATCAATGTGAATGCCTGACACCCACTAAGCTGGATTACGGATTGCTCCAACAGGAGAAGCACCTTTTGAATTCTTGAACAACTTCAAGCCAGTCTTCTTAATGTTGGGAATGTGGTTAGGTATAATGAAAAAAAGCTTCATGTTATGGGACTTAGCCACAATTTTTTTTTCTTACACATCTAGTTTAGTTCTTACAGATCAATGAAGACTAATGGGAAGTAGCATTTCCGTTAAAGTCTTAAAATTGAGCTGGAGAGGGTGTTGAGAAAAGGGAACCCTCCTACACTGTTGGTAGGAATGTAAACTGGTGCTGCCACTATGGAAAACAGTATGGAGGTTCCTCAAAAAACTAAAAATAGAGCTACCATATGTCCAGCAATCCCACTCCTGGGCATATATCTGGAAAAAGACGAAAACTCTAATTTAAAAAGATACAGGCACTCCAATGTTCATAGTAGCACTATGTACAATAGCCAAGACATGGAAACAACCCAAGTGCCCATCAACAGATGATTGGTTTAAGAAGATGTGGTACACACACACACAAACACACACACAGTGGAATATTACTTGGCCATAAAAAAGAATGAAATAATGCCATTTGCAGCAACATGGATGGACCTAGAGAATATCATACTAAGTGAAGTAAGTCAGACAGAGAAAGACAGATATTATATAATATCACTTATATGTGGAATCCAAAAAAATAATACCAATGAATCTATCTACAAAACAGAAACAGACTTGCAGATATAGAAAACAAACTTATGGGTACCAAAGGGGAAAGGGAGGTGGGGAAGGACAAGTTAGAAGTATGGGATTAACAGACACAAACTGCTATACATAAAATAGATCAGCAACAAGGATCTATTGTCTAGCACAGGGAACAATATTCTGTATCTTGTAATGATGTGTAATGGAAAATAATCTGAACAAATATATAACTGAATCACTTTGCTGTATACCTGAAACTAAAACAATATTGTAAATCAACTTCAATAAAAAAAATCTTAAAATTGAATTTCCTCCCCCCAAGTTAGAGAGTAACAATTTTGAAGGTACCAAAGTGTCATGAGTATTATTATCTCTGTAATATGGAAGCTGTAATGAGGGCATCAGGAATTGAGGAAGGAAAGGCAGAGGAATTGAGAAGTATTTGATGAAGGCCTATGATGAGCCAGACACTCCAACAGGCACTTTACATATTATCTCCTTTAATGATACTGTGAAGTATGTTCTTATCTCCATTTTATAGATAGGTGAAGTGACTTCTTCAGTGCCAGATTTTAAGTGTGGGGCTGAATTTGTACCCAGATCTGATTCTACACTGAATGGTTCCACAGTGGGAGAAAGATAAAAATGTCTTAACTCAGCTGGGCCTGTCCTCTCATGCATGGACTCCTTGTAGCATACTAACGTCATGCTAGGCCTATACAAAGGACACCTGATCCCCAGGGGAAGACATGTTATCTCACCTCTCTTGTGTCTTTATCTGGTATTAGTGTCTGGAAGAAGAGGTGATGCACCGGAGGTCGTAAGAAGTACTTCAGTCTATGCAGGCATGGTCTGTTGTACAACCCACCTTGTGGTGTTCGTGCTTGCACCTGGGCAGATCTGGGGTTGACAGGCTCTGACAGTGATATCTCTTTTCTGGCTGGAGTTTCTGTGACAGAGAGCCAAGGAACTTTCTCTAAGGAAGTTTCAGACTGTGGGCTGGGAGAGCAGCTTGGAGAGGATGGAGCTGAGACATCCATAGGGGTGTCATGGTTCTGTACATCATTTTGCGGAGAGTCAGGCCTGAGTTTTGGTAAATGAGGCAAGTCTCTAAGTGTGTGTGGCATGTCTTCTGGCAAGCATGACATGTCCCCAGGTGAATGTAGCACATCTCCTGATAAGTGTGGGATTTCTCCAGGTGAATGTGGTACACTTCCTGGTGACGGTGGCATGTCTCTTGGTGACTGTGGTACATTGGCTGGTGACTGTGACACATCTGCTGGTGACTGTAGGACATCAGCTGGTGACTGTGGCACATCTCTTGGTGACTGGGGCATGTCTCCTGATGATTGTGGCATGTCTCCTGATGATTGTAGCATATCTCCTGGTGACTGTGGCATGTCTTTCAGGTGTGCCACATCTTGTGGATACGTTATGTTTTGAGGTGGGCCTGGTACGTCTTGAGGTAGGCCCAGTGAGTCTTGAGGTGGGCTTTGTGAGTGTTGAAGTTGCCATGATGAGTCTTGAGGTGGACTTGGCATATTCTGCTGAGCGCATGCCACATTCTGAGGGCATGGCACATCTTGAGGAGGGCATGGCCCTTCTTGAGGTGGGGGAGGCAAAGTTTGTAGTTGGCACTGCATGGTTTGTGATGGGCATGACAAGGCTCGTGGTGGGCATGAGGAGGCTCGTGGTGGACATGGTGAGGCTCGCAGTGGGCATGGCAAGGCTCTCAGTGGGCATGGCAAGGCTTGTGGAGGGCAAGGCACATCTTGCTGTGGGCATGGCAAGGGTGCCCTTTGATTGCTACGGCTACCATTATTGCTTGTTGCAGGGAAGGAGTGAATATCTGAAGATAGCTGTAGGCTTGCCAAGAAGCCGAGGTCACCTTTGAATATGGTTGAGCTACAATTCGGCTCTCCTGGATAAACAGAGCCCCCACTGATGGACACAGGGGGCTGGGGACCTTCAAATGCAGTTTCTTCCAAAAGGTCCAAATCCACAGGATCACTGTTAATGATTCTCCGTGCTGCAGGCCGAGAGCTTCTGTCTACCCGCCCTTCCATCACCTCTTTGCTGGAGAGGCTGGCACATGCTTGAAGACTGGCTGGCTCTTTCTGGGAAGGAGCAACGGGTTCTAGAGTCAAGTCAAGAGTGGCAATAGGTCTATTTTCTTCCTCAGATCCTGTTAGGTCAATCACACAGAGTCCATTGCGATCCTTTGCCCTTGGTCTGGTTTCTCTAGTTAAGTCAATGAAGTCCTGTTGAAGGATTGTGAGAAGATAAGAGGTCAAGTAGGGGTCTTAGCTTTATCTAAGAGGACTTAAAGCTTAGCTTTTAATGATAAAACTATTTTACTTTTTCACTTCACTGACAATTTATATATCTTTTTTTTTTTTTTTTTGCGGTACGCGGGCCTCTCTCTGTTGTGGCCTCTCCCGTTGCAGAGCACAGGCTCCGGACGCGCAGGCTCAGCGGCCATGGCTCACGGGCCCAGCCGCTCCGTGGCATGTGGGATCTTCCCGGACTGGGGCACGAACCTGTGTCCCCTGCATCAGCAGACGGACTCTCAACCACTGCGCCACCAGGGAAGCCCCTATATATCTTATATAACGTAAGTGTTAGTTTATTTCTTTTGGCCAAAATTTTCCTCTGTCAAAGCTGCCAATTTCTATACCTTCTTAAATTATCCAAATGCCACAAGCACATAACAGAGGACACAGGGGGAAATGTATTATGATCCAAGGTGGACAGGGGAGTAGTAGAGAAGATTTCAACCTTAAGTCAAAGTAAAAAGCAAACTTTGTTTGGAAAAGCAAATACACAGGATAACCTACAACAGAAGCTAAAGAAGGGAAACTAATACGAGAATCTACTTTGTGCTAAGAATGTGTTGAGTGCTTTCACACATCTTTAATTTTCACAATGACCCTGTCAGGAAGGCATTATCATCTCCATTATACAGATGGGGAAACTAGAGTTCAGAGGGGTTAGTTTATTTACCTATGGATTATACAGTTATGTAGCAGAGACAGACATTCAAACCCAGGCCTGTTTCCTTCTTTCCCTGTTAGGGCCTAGGAATGTACAACTTCATTCAATGTATAGTCAGCCTATAGTCAGATATGGAGAATAATACACTAAGGGTTATAAAACTAACCATTCTAAGTGTGAGCCTAAATTAATTACAAAAAACCTCCTATATTCACCCCCATTCCTTGGCAAAATGATTAGGCAGTTCACAAAGCCTGATGATGCCAGCCAGAGGTACTGTAAACAACTTCTGTGTCATGAGCCAGGAAAAATATTGCTCTGCCTTCCAGGTGTCTCCTCACTTGGTTGGGTACCATTGCCACTGCTATGTCGGGTACTAATTGCTGGGCTAGCAATGCTCTTGCTGCTACTACAGCTACCGTGCTATTTCTTTTAATAGATGTGATGGTCACCACTGTCAACGGCACCAAAGCAGGACACAGGATCCTGGGTGGGTCAAGTGAGAAGCTGGAATGCACCTCATCTTGGAATAGGGATTGCTTGGTGAAACCTAATGCCTCATTCCTAAGAAGCAGCCATATAGTAACACTGCCTCTCTACTGCTAGCTGAACTCAACATAAATAGCTGCAAAGGTCTGAATTCAACTCCTATTCCATCACCAACTCCTAAAATGCAACATTACCATGTCTCTCTCACTTAAAACCCACCATATGAGCTACAGGATAAAGGGCAAATGCTTTAGTAAAGACTCATAAAGCCCTTCATAATTCAGCCTCTTCGTGATTACTCTCCTCCTCGTGTGCGCAAATCACACAGAACTACTTCAGATCCCCAAATGTGCCATGCTTTCTCAAGTATTTCTATCTTTATGTTTGCTTATGTTCTTTCTTTTGTCTGGAGTGATTATTATCCCTTTGATTGTTTGGAAGTTTCTTGTCTTTCAAGACTCAGCACAGATATCACTGTGTGCGAAAATTCTTCCAGATCACTTCTTGTCCCAAGTTAAATTATTAGTTTTCTCCCTTATATCCCCAATTCATCTGTACAAACCAAAAAGGTTTATCCCAAAGAATTTGATGTTTTTAAATGATATTGAAAATGGAAATAATTTTTTGTCATTTTCCAATTATTCATTGCTAGTATATAGAAATGCTGTTGATTTATGTATGTATCTTATCCCTGTATCCTCTGACCTTGCTAAATTCACTTACTAGTTCAGGTAACTTTTTTTGTAGATTCCTTAGTGTTTTCCATATAAGAAATCATGTCTGCAAATAGAGGAGTTTTACTTCTTCCTTTTCAATCTGCATGCCTTTTATTTCTTTTTCTTAACTATTACAATGGCTAAAGCATCTAGTATAATTCTCAGCAGAAGTGCTGAAAGCAGACATCTGAGACTTTCATCATTAAGTATAACGTTAGCTGTGTTGTCTTCATAGATGCCCCATATCATGTTGAGAAAGTTCCCTTCTTCTCATTGTTTTCTCAGAGTTTAAAAAAATTTATTTATTTATTTATTTAGGCTGCACTGGGTCTTAGTTGCAACACACAGGATCTTTGTTGTGGCATGTTTAGTTGTGGCTTCTTAGTTGCAGCATGCATGTGGGATCTAGTTCCCTGACCAGGGATCGAACCCGGGCCCCCTGCATTGGGAGCATGGAGTTTTACCCACTGGACCACCACCAGGGAAGTCCCGTTTTCTGAGAGTTTTAATTGGAAATGGTTGTTAAATTTAGTCAAATGATTTTTCTGCACCTGTTGAGATATTTTATGATTTTCCTTTGTACTATTAATATCAAAAATTATATTAATTGATTTTCTAATGTTAAATTAATCCTATGGAAAACTCCACTGGTTATGATGTATTATTTTTTTCTATATTGTTTTAATATATCAATATTTTGTTAAGAATTTTTGCATATTTATGAGGGATATTAGTTTACAGTTTTCTATTCTTGTAATTTCTTTTACTGGTGTTGCTATCAGAATAAAATTGGCCTCATAAAATGATTGGGAGCTATTCCCACCCCCTCTATTTAGGTTGTGTTGGATTGGTACCATATCTTTCTTCAATGTTTATAGAAATCACCAGTGAAGCTATCTGGGCCTGAAATTTGCTTTGTAGTTAAAATTTAGTAGACATAAGGCTATTTACATTTTCTACTTCTTGTGTTAGTTCTGTGACTTATGGATTTTGTTATTAAAATTATTAGCATAAAGTTGTTCACAACAGTCCTTTATTATCTTTCTAATTCTATATTCTGTATAGATTTATCCCCAATTTTCTTTTTTTATTCCCAGTATTGGTAATTTGTATCCTTTGCATTTTCTCCCCTGATCAGCCTAGCTAGAAGTTTATCAATTTGACTGATCTTTCCAAAGGACCAGATTTTTCATCCATTCCCTTTATTTCTATTGTTATCATTATTATTTCCTTCCTTCTATTTACTGTGGATTTAATTTGCCCTTCTTTTTCTAGCTTCTTAATGTGGAAGCTGATACCTTGATTTTCAAAATCTTTCTTTTCTAACATTAGCATTTAAAGCTAAAAATTTCCCCGTAAGTACTGCTTTAGCTTCATCCCACATTTTTTTTTTTCTTTTTTTTGCGGTATGCAAGTCTCTCACTGTTGTGGCCTCTCCCGTTGCAGAGCACAGGCTCCGGACGTGCAGGCTCAGTGGCCATGGCTCACGGGCCCAGTCGCTCCGCGGTATGTGGGATCTTCCCAGACTGGGGCACGAACCCGTGTCCCCTGCATCGGCAGGCGGACTCTCAACCACTGCGCCACCAGAGAAGCCCCATCCCACAATTTTTAATACACAGTCACTTTATTATCATGTAGTTCAAGCTTACCTTCACCATAGTCAGAAAACAAACCCTGTAAGATTTCAATCTTTTGAAATACACTGAGACTTATTTTATGTCCTAACACATGGCCTACTTGCTGAATGTTCCTTGTACACTTGAAAAAAATGTGCATTCTGCAGTTGTTGGATATAAATGCCAATTAGGTCATGGCTGCTGATAGTAGCTTTTGGATCTTTGATTTTCTTCACCTTTGAGGGGATGCAGTTGTGCTATCAAGTACTGACAGAAGTGTATTAAAGTGTCCAGGGGAGAGACCTTCAAGATGGCGGAGGAGTAAGATGTGGAGCTCATCTTCCTCCCCATAAATACATCAGAAATACATCTACATATGGAACAACTCATACAGAACACCTACTGAACGCTAGCAGAAGACCTCAGACCTCCCAAGAGGCAAGAAACTCCCCACGTACCTGGGTAGGGCAAAAGAAAAAAGAAAAAACAGAGACAAAAGAATAGGGACGGGACCCGCACCTCTGGGAGGGAGCTGTGAAGGAGGAAAAGTTTCCACATACTAGGAAGCCCCCTCACTGGTGGAGATGGGGGGTGGGTGGGTGGGGGAGCTTCGGAGCCAGAAGAGAGCGCAGCAACAGGGGTGCAGAGGGCAAAGTGGAGAGATTTCCGCACGGAGGATCACTGCCGACCAGCACTCACCAGCCTGAGAGGCTTGTCTGCTCACCTGCCAGGACGGGTGGGGACTGGGAGCAGAGGCTCCGGCATAGGAGGTCAGATCCCAGGGAGAGGACTGGGGTTGGCTGCATGAACACAGGCTGAAGGGGTCTAGTGTGCCACAGCTAGCAGGGAGGGAGTCTGGGAAAAAGTCTGGAACTGCCTAAGAGGCAAGAGACCATTGTTTCAGGGTGCACGAGGAGAGGGGATTCAGAGCACCACCTAAACAAGTTCCAGAGATAGGCGCGAGCTGCGGCTATCAGGGTGGACACCAGAGATGGTTATGAAATGCTAAGGTGGCTACTGCAGCCACCGAGAAGCCTGTGTGCAAGCACAGGTCATTATCCACACCTCCCCTGCAGGGAGCCTGTGCAACCCGCCACTGCCAGGGTCCTGTGATCCAGGGACAACTTCCCCGGGAGAACACACGGCAAGCCTCAGGCTGTTGCAACATCATGCCAACCTCTGCCGCCACAGGCTCGCCCCCGCATTCAGTACCCCTCCCTCCCCCGGGACTGAGTGAGCCAGAGGCCCCTAATCAGCTGCTCCTTTATCCTGTCTGGGCAGGAACAGATGCCCTCAGGCGACCTATACGCAGAGGTGGGGCCAGTTCCAAAGCTGAACCCCAGCAGCTGTTCGAACAAAGAAGAGAAAGGGAAATTTCTCCCAGCAGTCTCAGGAGCAGGGTATTAAATCTCCACAATCAACATGATGTACCCTGCATCTCTGGAA